CCGAAATCCCGTGAACTTCTATTCTTCTCTCCCCAAAAGCTCTCCAAAAATCTGTATCTAGGTGTTCTCTAAGGTTCTCCCTTGTTCTAGGACGTGGCTAGGGCTTTTTTATAACCCTAGGGTGGCTCCCAAGAGTCCTATTCCCATTCAGATGCTGAAAATCGCGAAACAGGGTTTTAAATTGGATCCGGACCGATTCCAGGTGGATCCGGACCGGATCCAGATTCCTGGGGTCAAATTCTGCGTCCTTGATCCGGACCGGATCCAGTTGGATCCGGCCCTGCGCTGACAGTTTTCTGGTCTTCACGATTTCGCTCATAACTTCCTGCTCTGGTATCGGATTTATGCGATTTTGATGCCTATGCGAAGCTCTTGAAGTGCTCTTTCCAATGGTATAAGTCTCGCACGATTTGGACTTCTGTAGAGAAAGTTATTGATGTCGCAACATGAGTACCTCATCCGGACTTCTCCTTTAGCGCTCCAAATGGCTCCTTTTCGAGTCCAATCATCTTCGAAACCTGTAATCTGCAAAACTAAAGCACAACCGGATTTTGTATCCTAACACGCCTAGAATGCCTATGAATACATGTGATTATCCTATAAAACCTAGACAAACTCTCATCAAAATATAGAGAAGAATAGGAGTTATCAACGGCGTTTCCAACGGATATTCCAACGGATTTCCGTGGCAAATACCGTTGTAAATCCGTTGGAATATTTCTAATGGATATTCTAACGGTCCCGTCGGAAAGTAGCCACGGATTTCCGTTGGAATTTCCGTTGATATATTCCGACGAACAAATCCGTTGGAATTCCGTTGAAAATATACCACGGAAGAACCGTTGAAAATCCGTTGAAATATTCCAACGGATGACGGCGTTGGAATTCCGTTTGGAATTTGCCACGGAATTCCAACGGAACCGCGTTTCTAACGACTGTTTTCCAACTGATATATCCGTTGGAAAAGTCGAATTCCAACGGATTTTCGGCCATTTCCAACGGATTTGCCGGTTGGAATTTGGAGTTTTTTTTTAGTGAACCACTAAGTTTACATCTTTTGAAATATCATTGCATGTAAAGTAATCCCGAAGCCTGCAGTGTTCGTCATTCATAGTTTTAAAAGCTGTTTTATCGTTTGCTTTGTTAGCTTCTCACATTCACATTATTTTCTCTGGATTTAGATTTGATTCAGTTGTCTACTTGTCCCTGTGTTCGACCCTGCTACTACACACGATCCGTACACTTGCGGTTAATTGTTGAGTGTAGGAATATTATTACTTGATCATATTTCTGCACCTAGATTTGCGACATCATTTGTGCACTTGAACAGAATACACCGGAAGATGGACAATGCAAGGAGTGTGGTCCGATGGTCTCGACGCTAGAAATTCAACAGACTGTGGGATGAGGGGTATTATAAAAAAAATATATCTTATTTTAACTGGTCACACCGTTCACTAGGGGTGGCCATTTCAGGTTTAGGTTCGGTTTTCGGTTTAGTTATTTCGGGTTCGGTTATTTCGGTTATAAAAAAATTATACCCAAACGGTTATATAGTTCTATTCGATTCGGTTCGGTTCGGTTTCGGTTCAGTTCGGTTTGACTTTTTCATAATAAAATTATAACCGAACGGTTAAATTTTTCGGTTTATTCGGTTCGGTTTTAGATCGGTTCGGTTTGGTTATGATATATTTTTTTAAAAAAGAATATTAATCCTATACAAACTTCAAAATATCTATCCAAATAAATCCATAAAATAATTAATCCTCAAAAAAATTACAAAACAAATCTACAAAAACTTCAATAATTAGGTTAAAAGTTAAAAATATTAAATTTTAGGGGTAATCGCATAAAAATACCCGAACTTTTACAAAAAGCCCAAATAAATACCCGAACTATAAAATTATCATATAAATACCTGAACTTTTCAAAACTCTCACATAAATACCCAAACTTTTAAATTTTTTTCGAATCAAACAAACGCTACTGCTGACTCAACAAAAAAAAACTGTTGACTCAGCAAAAAACTGCTGACTCAACATTTAAAAATATTATTAAATATCCAAATATTCATCTACATATATTTAAATTAATATATATATAAATTCACATATATATATATAAATATATATATATATATATATTAAAAATAAAATTATTTATAATTAATAAAACACATATAC